TTCGCTTGTCTCGTAGGTTTTATTGGCATTCGCTGATCATAGGCTGTAGTATGGCATGCGTAAAGCGTATAGTCCGGGTCACAATTGTGCCAAATGTTTTATCGCACAGTGTTTCTCTGTTTCGTTAAGGTTATAAAGACCTGTTTTGGCAAAGTTTATTATAAGCTGGTCCGGATGAATGATTTTTAATGCGCGCCGTTTAATTCTTTTAATGTCACCGCTTAGATAATGCGCAGCGAGCATTTTCCTGAAATGGACTTTCGTCATGTGGACTAAATTTAATTTAGGAATGTTAAAATTGTTAAGATAAGGTTGGAAAATAATATCGACCTGCGCTTGCGATTATAAAAGAGTTTTTAAAACGGTTAGTTTTGCATCTTGGTATAATGATATAATATTCGCTTGTCTCGTAGGTTATATTGGCATTCGCTGATCATAGGCTGTAGTATGGCATGCGTAAAGCGTATGGTCCGGGTCACAATTGTGCCAAATGTTTTATCGCACAGTGTTTCTCTGTTTCGTTAAGGTTATAAAGACCTGTTTTGGCAAAGTTTATTATAAGCTGGTCCGGATGAATGATTTTTAATGCGCGCCGTTTAATTCTTTTAATGTCACCGCTTAGATAATGCGCAGCGAGCATTTTCCTGAAATGGACTTTCGTCATGTGGACTAAATTTAATTTAGGAATGTTAAAATTGTTAAGATAAGGTTGGAAAATAATATCGACCTGCGCTTGCGATTATAAAAGAGTTTTTAAAACGGTTAGTTTTGCATCTTGGTATAATGATATAATATTCGCTTGTCTCGTAGGTTATATTGGCATTCGCTGATCATAGGCTGTAGTATGGCATGCGTAAAGCGTATGGTCCGGGTCACAATTGTGCCAAATGTTTTATCGCACAGTGTTTCTCTGTTTCGTTTAGGTTATAAAGACCTGTTTTGGCAAAGTTTATTATAAACTGGTCCGGATGAACCCTTACAAAAAATCCACATGAATTCACACGTGTGATTTCATGTGAAATCATGTGATAACATGTGAAATTATGTGATCTTATGTGAAATTTAACATGTGAAAAAATTTCACATGAAATCACATGTGAAATTTCACAAATTAAAGGATTTCACATGAAATCACATGTGACATTTCACATGTGAAAAGATTTCACATGAAATCACATGTGACATTTCACATGTGAAAAGATTTCACATGAAATCACATGTGACATTTAACATGTGAAAAGATTTCACATGAAATCACATGTGACATTTCACATGTGAAAGAATTTCACTTGAAATCACATGTGATCACATTTCACATGTGAAAAGATTTCACATGAAATCACAAGTGAAATTTCACATGTGAAAGAATTTCACATAAACGTTACAAACTGACAAAGTGTCAGTAACTCACAAAGTGTCAGCTAATGATAGTCTTGTATTTCCTTTCTTGTAGCTCATGTGACTAAACGTTTTGCGGGAGCAACAGCCTCATCAGTGAAAGCTGCCATGGCCCAAAAGTGCAAAGACAAAAGAAATGCTGATACGAAAAGAAGAAAAATTGCAAAAGACATTTGAACTGCTAAGTTTTTTCCTTATTATAAATTATTTTGTATGGTAGCTAAACATTTGTAGCAATTAACTGTATAAATAAATTATTTAAACTTCCTACAGTATACATACCATTACAGTATCTCACTGTTTGACAGGTTTAACTGTGCATGATTGAAGCTTTGCATAATTTCACATGTGAAACTGGAACATGTGATATTTCACATGTGTATTTGGAAGATGTGATATCTCACATGTGAAGTTTCACATGTCAACACATGTGAAATTATGTGTTTCACATGTGAAGTTTCTCATGTGAAATTTCACATGTGAATTTGGAACATGTGAATTTGGAACATGTGACTTTTCACATGTGAACACATGTGAAATTATGTGTTTCACATGTGAAACTTCACATGTGAAATTTCACATGTGAATTTGGAACATGTGAATTTGGAACATGTGACTTTTCACATGTGAATACATGTGAAATTATGTGTTTCACATGTGAAGTTTCACATGTGAATTTGGAACATGTGAATTTGGAACATGTGATTTTTCACATGTGAACACATGTGAATTTGGAACATGTGAAACATAATTTCACATGTCAAATTTCACATGTGAAAAATCACATGTTCAAAATTCACATGTGAAATTTCACACATGTGAAATCATGTGGAATTTTTGTAAGGGGTAAATATACCTTGGTAAATATACCATACGTATTTTTATTAATACTTTCATACACAAAAACTATTTGCTTATTTTCATTAGTAACAAGAGGTTTCGTTTTCCACAGTCAAACCTGAAAACACAAAGATTACGATTACACAAGAAGGTGTACTTGGTAGCCCAGTTACCATAACGTGTAACTCTGAAGGTCATCCTGAACCAAATTATACCATAACCCATAATGGTATTGGTACCACGCTCAGTGATGGGAAGATGTATACCATACCTAAAGTGAAGTGGAGTGATGCTGGAATATATAAGTGCAT